CCTCTTCGTCTTCTGAGTCTCCTCCGCTTCGGGCTCTGAGGTCTAACCGTAGTCGAAGTCGTGACTGCTGGGTTTAGGGTTTAAGGTTTAGGGAATAGGTTCTAGGGTTTAGGTTTCGGGGTTGAGGGCTTTAGGGCTTGGGGTGTAGGGTTTAGGTCTAGGGTTGGGGTAGAAGGTTTACCGTTTCAGTGCGGGGATTGTCGGAAAGTTTAGGCCCTTGTTGGAACTGAAGCATTAGATCTGCCTTAAGGATGCAGACTTCCGAAATTTCCGCCTGGGCTGCAGGACTGCAGCATTGAGACTGGAAGGTGCTTGCACAGTGCACAGGCCCTCTGAGAGAGAGAGCTCGGGATGCAAGATTGAGTCGGCAATTTAGGGATTCAGGGTTTAGGGTTTAGGGATTGAGGTTATCAGAATGTGCTTTCCACGAGAGCTGGAGCTGAACTACAGGGCAGGGTTCTGTGCCGAACAGGTCATGCGTCTACATAGAGTGGAAGGTTCTTGAAAGGCTCCATGTACTTACCACACTTATCAGGACCCGGCAGAAAATCCAATGTCAAATAAGCCTCCACGATGCAAACTGGACACCACAGGTGCGCCCTGATTCTGCACAGACTCGTGATCTCATCCAGCATCCCTTGATCATGGGATGTAACTGCACTCTTTGCTGAGTGCCACCGGTGCTTGGAACCACTTCTGCTGCCACTGGGGACCTCTGTAGGTCACAACTTCGTCCATGGTGGAAATTCGTCCATCTTCCGTCATGCGCCGTTGCGTTGCCTAGCCTGCAGGCTGCCAATGGTAGGATGCCACAACAGACGACCAACCCTGCCCGAAGTGGTCACGGTCGGACAGGAGTTATACAATCGAGTAAGCACGGCCAAACATCACTTTCTGCGCCACCGAGCTTGCCATCCAGTGTGTCATGTAGTCGCTCCCGTTATGGGTCTTGGAACCAGGAAGCCGAGTAAGGCCAGCGTAAGTCTTTCCATCCTCTGCATAGCGATACGCTTGCATATCGAAGGACAATCGAAGGGCCTGATCGAGAGCCATCCGCTTTTTGTGTCTGGCCTTCCGAAGCTCCCTCTGTTTTGACCAACCACCTGCATCGGTGTTGTCAGGGTCAGGAGTGTTCTTGTAAAAACTCCAAAACTTGTCGACTTCACAGCCAGCCGCAGCCACCTCGATTGCCCAGGCGGCCGCCTCCTCGTTTTCAAGGACGATGTTTTGGCGGCTCGTCAAGATCCCCTGGAGTTTGTTAAGCTCCGCCCCGGATGTCTCCACATCCCTCTCCAGAAACTGCAGAGCCAACGATCGCGCGTCCTCCTTGCTTCGAGCAAACGTGTTGGGGTCTTGGAGCACGAAGAACCTCGACAAAACTCGTGTTGGGTCGAGCTGCTTCTTCGTGTAGTATAAGGTCAGGTGTGTGTGTGTGTATGTGTGTGTGTGTGTAAACTCAT